GTTCATATACAAAATATCTCCATAATCCAACAGTGGTAAAAAAGTAGCGTCCACTAGTCACTTTTTCACATTAAAAGAAAAGCACAACTTATTTCTAAAATAAAAGCCTAGCTTTAGCCTGAGGCTCTTCGCCAGTGTCTCCACATGGGGCTTAAAAGTAAGGGAGTCATCAATCAATATTCCCAGATTTTTATACACCTGTACCTGCTCTATTTCAATTCCATCAAGTGATTGAAAGAGGCTTTTTTCTGGCATTGGAAAACAACATAGCTTTGTCTTGTTAGCATTAAGGACAAGTTTCAGCTGAAGTAATGAATGTTGGATGGTATCGAACGCTTTCTGCAATGATTCAACAGCCTGAACAAGTGCTGATCCACAGCAGTAAATGACTGTATCATCAGCATAAAAGTGCAAACCAGCACCTGACACATTTAGACCCAGATCGTTAATATAAATAATGAATGAAAGAGGACCGAATACAGAACCCTGTGGTACCCCTTTATATACAGTGGCATGTTCTGAACAAAGACCATCATATTTTACACATTGAGATCTGTTATTGAGGTAGTTTGAGAACCAAGCCACTGCTTTCTCTGACAGACCTGACTGAAGAAGTTTAAGTTTTAAAATGTCATGGTCAGCTGTGTCAAATGCTTTTGACAAATCAATAAAAAGTGTTGCACAACATAGTTTCTTATCAAGTGCTACCAATATGTCATTTACCGCCCTCACTGCAGCTGTAATGGTGCAATGTTTTTTTTCTGTAACCTGACTGATGTGTTGTTAAGATAGCATTGGTACATAAAAACTCCTTTACTTGCTTACTCACGAGGCCTTCAAGTATCTTTGCCAGCACCGATAGGTTAGATATTGGTCTATGTAGTTTGTTAAAATTGCTGGATCCCCACCTTTTAATAAAGGGAGAACATATAATGTTGCATTGCTTCTTTATTTGTCAGACCTGAACATTGTAACAGAAAAATCCTTCTCCTARCTTTGTTAATGGATGTTGATGATTTAAAGATGTGGTGAAACACAGAGGTCTTAAATAAGCAATATTGTTCAACTATGCTGTAACTGAGATATGGGTTAACAAAAATAAGAATCAGAATTATACTGTAGATCAACTGAAAAGTGCAAAAGGGTAGGAAATATAAGTTTAATTTAAACCTTTTCAAATGGATGACCTTGTAAGTTGGCCAAAATGTACACACACACACACACACACACACACACACACACACACACACACACACACA